CTTTTTTTTTTTTTTTTTTTTTTTTTTTTTTTTTTTTTTTTTTTACGGTGGTTGACACCTTCATTGCTTTGGCAGTGAGAGGCAGGTGCTCAGAAGCTCTTCGTGGGGTTGGCCTGATTTCTCTTTACTATCATGGGCTTGTGGCTGCAGGGGTTGGCGCTGACTCTGCCAATGGCAGCCATGCGCAGATCTGAGCGGAACTTGTTCTTGCGGATCATGTACCTGATGTTGCTGAGGGGGAACCAGGCATTCTTGTTGACGGTGGTCCACACGTAGGATGTGGCAGGTTTTCACTGGCCAGATTTCCGCTTCATGACCACCACTACTACCCTTTTGCCCTTGGCTGCCGGCTTCATGCCCACAGTCTGGCGGTGCATCAGCCCCTTGTAGCAGACGGAGTTGTGAGCCTTCAGCTTATTGGACTCTGTGATGTACACCTGCTTCTTCCTCTTGATCAGGAAGCTGGAGCAGTTCTGCACGACCACCCATTGTAGGCGGGCAGACATGGCGGCAGCTCCTTTCACTATGGCAGCCAGAGGTGGAAAGACTGGATACCAGTCTTTTTGAAAGTCCGTGTTGGAGGACTCAGTTGTGTTGGGTGATTCAGTTGTGTAGCCATTGCTTTGAAATCACTGTGCCAGGGTTCCACTGTGCTCATTGTATTCATTCATTAAGGACATTGCTCTAGGATATAAGGAATAAGACCTAATCACTGCTCTGCATTATTTCATAGTCCATTGAGGAAGGCAGGAACTTAAGCAGAGAACCACAGCAGGGGCGAGACAAGTGTAGTAAGAGCTTCTGGACAGGTGCACAGCAATACCACAGACAGGATGATGAACGTGGGGAGATGGGGAAGTGGCATTTAAGTTGAGCCCCCAAGGATGATGATCTTTTACGGGGTGGGCGAGAAGCGGAACACTCCAGATGGAAGAAATAGTACTTGCGGAGGCCTGGGTCACGGTCTTATCCTCATCTCAGGGGTGGGATATTGAGGTCTGTTTCTCATGTATCCCACCTTCCTCCCTGCTTAATATTTCTTCTCCGTGTGTTCACAATATCACTGCATTTCTCACTTCACTCTCTGAAACTCCAGATCATTTGTCATTAATTAAAAGATTAAAAAAAACATTACTGACATATAATTTATATACCTGTATTCATTTCCTGTGGTTGCCACAACAAATTATTACAACAGAAATTAATTATCTTGAAGTTCTGGAGGCCTGAAGTCTGAAACTAAAGAGTCAGCAAGGCCATGCTCTGCCTGGAGACTCCAGGGAAAAATGCCTCCCTGCTTCTTCCATTGTCTCAGGCTATTGAGAGGCTATTGCTTCTTTGGTTTCCTTGCTTTGTGGTCACATCATGCCAATCTCTGTCTCTGGTTTCACATTACCTTTTTTCTCTGTGTGTGTCTCTCCAATCTCCCTCTGCTTTTCTCTCTTACTAAAGTTTATTTTTTGAGAGAGAGAGCTCGTATGTATGCATGTATGAGTGGGGAAGAGAGAGAGAGAATCTCAAGCTGTCAGCAAGGAGTGGACTTGGGGCTTGAGCCCATGAACCGTGAGATCATGACCTGAGCTGAAATGAAGAATCGGATGCTTAACCAACTGAATGACACAGGCATCCCCATACCTCTACTTTTCTCTTCTAAGGAAGTTATTGAAAACAGGACACATCTGGATAATCCAGGATGCTCTCATCTGAAAAATAGTTATAGTTTTAGTTATATCACCTAAAAACTGTGGTTATTGTTTTCAATGTGCAGATGAAGAGGAGACTGAAGATGTGACAGAAGATTGGAAAGAATCTTGAGCGATGACTTTCTGGGCGTGCTTGCTTTGAAGGAAGTTGGTAAATTAAACTGTTTTCTGAATTCTTAAATTCATTGACTGCATCTATAGAGACCATTCCTCAAATACTGATTTTTAATATTTGGATTCTCTCTTCCTAGGTTTTGCTTCTTTGATATTTTTGAGACATGGGGTGCATTTGGTCAGTGATTTTTTTTCTTCACTGAAATGCCTGGTGAAATTGTGTTTTATTGCTAATCTTGCAACATCAGGGATATGTTATAAAATCAACATTTTATGTATGTGTGTGCTTTGTTAAAACTAGTTGAAGTACTATGATGACTTTGTATTTGATTTTATATGTTACAACTTCATTGTGATTTAGACAGATGGAATCACTATGAATTCTTACTTGGGCCCTGATTTTCCAGCTTTCTTCCCGTTTGGTGCCTGTTAAGTACAACTTGCCATAGAAAGAAATGAATTTTCTCAACAAAGCAATGTTAGCATGGGCTTTGCTTCCTTACTAGCAGTGGTATTTTGCTCAAGCAAGAGTTTGATTTACTTGAATTACTTGATTTTTATTACCATTTATCATCTTGCAGAATTTGCCTTTTAGAATGCAGCAAATAAATCATCCAGATTGGAAGGAGTTTATATGTCAGGATTTTGAGCAGAGGTTCTGTGCTTCACTTTAATTAAACTGCCTTAATCACATTCTCTCTGAAGCAAATTCTGTGGCTGCGGGATGGACTCTGATGATTGCTATAGTCCAGGATTCATGCTTACTGTCCTAGATGGAAGTTAGGTTAATCTCCCTGGGATAACCTCTAGAAACTAGGGGCAATCGTAAAGAGTCAGCAGTAACCATGAGTGTTGAGGAGGAAGTGAACATACATCCACTGCAATTACTAACTTTCTACTTTCTCCCAATGAGAATACTATGGTAAACCCTCTAAATTTAAGTAGCTTGGAGACCAGAGGGGACAGATACTAATTAATTAGTAAAATATTAAATAATTTGTTCTTGCTCCTCTCCATTGGACTTACAGATGTCATAGAAAGAGACCACCACTTTCTAGGTGTTAACTTAATACACAACTATTATGAAAGGACCATATGAAGAGATCTCCTATGACCTCTTCTATGACCTTCTAAGGTCATACTTATGCGGCAGGGATGGATGATATTCTTAATCAAAGCGCCATAAGCACCACATAGAGAGGGCAAAGGGAAGACACTCACACTTTTTTCTCCAGAGTACATTAAAAAAAAAAAAAAAGTAGAATGCAGCAAATAAAGATGAGCTACTTAAGAAATGTTCTGGGGTACTATTGAGAGAGAAGTTTTGTCTAGTTACAAGTCAGTAACTTGGATTCATGAGAAAATTTTATGTCAACACTTTATACAATGAATTGGCATGAAGTCCAATTTATTTCTGATGAAAAAAAGGAGTTAGCTATTGTGCTACCTTTAATGAAGTTTGGGGTAATAGGTATGTAGCATGATTCTTTTTTGCTCACACACATTTTTATCTGCTGATAGTTGAGGATGTTAATGATTGCTTATATCACATTTCCTTGACTTTGGAAAATAAACTCTATAGCTATTACATTTAGAGGAATGGATAAGCGATTTCTTTTTTGGGCCTCCTTTTTCAGTTTACATTAAACTTAACAATGGTTCGTATTGATGTCAATGTGTGACAGTGCGATTTATCTTGACGCTGAGTTTTGTTGGGGGAGGGTACCAGCAGATGTTAAAGTCGTGCTGTTGGACGCTCCTAAAAATGACACATGCATTGTAAAGTTTGGGTCAGGGGAGGGGTGTTATGGGTGGGAATTTGCAGTAGTGACAGAGAGGAGCCATTTTTGCCCGTCAAACTTTATGAAGAGCTCAGGTTTCTAAATCTCTGTGCTTCTGGTATTTGAGTGTGTGCAGTGGGGCTGGTTGGGGGAGGGGGGAGTTTTGTTGGGGGTGGTGAGAGCTTATGGCTTTCTAATGTGTTTCTGCAAACGGTATTTGAGGCATACTGAGCTTTTCTGTTATAGAAGTTTAAGAGAAGGGAAGGAATACAGAATGATCTCAAGTAATGGATTTTTTTCATGAAAAGAGGTGACACAGTTCATTCCTCAGCATGTCAGCTGAAGGTACTTCTAACAAGGATTGGTAAGCTAAATTTAGAATACAATTCAGATGAGATCAGGTGCATTCAAGGGATACAATATAATTCAACACAAAGGCTCCAGAATTTTTTTAAAAAATGTTACCCTGATAGGGAAAGTGGTTCTTATTAAAAATCAGTGTTATTATTTTAAGGTTCCCTCTAGACCTGAGTCTTTCCCCCAGAACAAGATCGAGAAGAAAAACCCCACAGGACCAAAAGTTTATTGCCCTTCAATCCAATTGTCTCTAAAATCCATGATCGTAAACTCTCTTAGCAGGAAAACTCTCTTAGCACCTTGATGGCATGATCTTAGTTCTGAACAAGCCTTTTATTTCCGTACAATCTACTGATTTGAAGGTCAGTCTCAGAGTAAACACGAAGGATACCAGGAAAAATAGCTCCCGTTCCTGGACACTTTTTGTGTCCTATCAGGATCTTTACAGTTCCTGTAGGTTTGCTCCTTAAAAAGTGAATTGGGGGGCGCCTGGGTGGCGCAGTCGGTTAAGCGTCCGACTTCAGCCAGGTCACGATCTCGCGGTCCGGGAGTTCGAGCCCCGCGTCAGGCTCTGGGCTGATGGCTCAGAGCCTGGAGCCTGTTTCCGATTCTGTGTCTCCCTCTCCCTCTGCCCCTCCCCCGTTCATGCTCTGTCTCTCTCTGTCCCCAAAAAAATAAATAAACGTTGAAAAAAAAATGAATTAGAATTCTCTCCTAAGACTTGCCATGTTTATGCTCCTCTGAGAAGGGATGATGTCCTGTTTCAAAGAATTATCTTTCAGATCAGTTTTCCAAACTCTGTAGCCCTTTTTGATATCTTATAGTTCTTTATTCTTGACCTAGGCACCATGAAATGATTTGGTAATTTATACTTCTGTATGATTATGCTGCCTTAGATGGGAGAAGTGTTTTTTTTTTTTCTTTTCATGTTTACTTATTTTTGAGAGAGACAGAGACAGAATGCGAGTGGGTTAGGGGCAGAGAGAGAGGGAGACACAGAATTCGAAGCAGGCTCCAGGCTCTGAGCTGTCAGCAGAGAGCTTGACCAGGGGCTTGAACTCACAGACCACGAGATCATGACCTGAGCCGAAGTCAGAGGCTCAACTGACTGAGCCACCCAGGTGCCCCGGGGGAAGTGTTTTTAGAATGAGACGGAAAATCAACAAGAATCTGTCTCAGCCAGTCATGTGTGGTGTTTCATGGACCCCCAAAGCCAGACCTTTAACCTACTCACAAGATTTCTGATTGTACTTGTTATTAAAACTGGAAATTAGTCAATATTTTGCTTTCATTGTTAGCTCACCCATACTCAAGTTCTGCTTATTGTAATGCTTTGGTCTTCTCTTTAAAAACTTGATACTTGATGTGTATTTTTTGGATTTCTTCCAAATCCTTTTAGTCCTGTTTTTGACCAAAGGTAAATTCATCTTCTGACAGGGGATGTCTATAAAGTTTGGCCCAATTTGGTAATGACGGTTCCTCCCTCATTCGCACTTCTAACGCTTCTCGACGACATGTAATTGTGTGCTACCTATCCAGTGCCGTCATGCATGGGCCAGAAAATGTAGCCGTGAGCATTGCGTGCACCTCGCTTATATTTTTTTCCCTTTGTTTTCATTGTTCTTTTTAGAAACAGAACTGTACTCTGAAATGGACTCAACGTTTAATTACCTTTCTAAAACATACAATTGTATCCTGTTGGGGTCCACCTTTTGAGTCCTTGCTTTGTTTTTAATAGGGCAGGCCAATGTTTTGTTCTGATTCCACAAATGCAGCAAATGTGTTTTCCAAGCAAATCAGTCACCTTCAATTGGATAGAAACTGTCAATGTTACTAATATTTACTGTAATGTCTTGTGTATGTTGTATTGGTTTAGGAATGGAGTTTACCCACACCTCATAACAAAGCCAGTAGAGAATAAATAAACATGGATACAGTAAGTATAAATATAAATTTCCATATGATTTATTGTCGTTCCTTGTACGTAACAGTAATATACAAACTTACACTGCTTTTAGAATGTAAAATGGATAAAAATGTGTACAAAAAAAGCACATTCCTAGAAAAAGGTATTGGTAAATAGTAAAAACTGGGGGGTAACAAGCGAAAAACAAATCAAAAACAAAACAAGAACCCCAACAATTCTTCAATTCAGTGTGCAAACATTTTATAAAAATAGAAATACTAACTCTACAGGCAGTATTTCCTGATAAATTATTTAAATAGCGTATCTACACAATCTGAGATCTATTCCAAAGGCAATGAGAAAATAATTTATAAAAATAAAGCAATGGTATATAAGATAGAAAAAACATAACTTTCAGAAAATGTATTTAACATTTCAATGCTATTTCCTTATTGGGAATACTTTTCTGCAAAGAGTTTTTATACTATGTACAACATTGACTTTTTTTTTTTTAAGGTACTACAGTAGCTTTAAGTTTGTAAGACACTTAGACTCTTTCTGCTTGATCCAAAAATTCTTTACTCAGTCACACAACAAATGAGGTAATATTTGTATAGAAGTTTCACCTTTTTTTTTTTTTCTTTCCTCTTTTGGAAAAATGACAAAGTGTAGATGCTTTTCTTCTCCCTGGAAATAGGCACAAGGGATAGGGTACAACAGTATTAAAGGACTCTTGGCTTTCTTTTTCAAAGTTACAAACACTAGCAAATGGGCAACCGATTCCACTTGAAAAGACAAAAAAATCCCAAATCATTCACTCTGAGCACAAAGCAAAGAGCAGCCTGCTCTGCTGATTTTCCTTGTGCCGTTCTTGTGAGAGATTTGCTGATAAATCTCCACTACCTGCTGTCAAACACTTTCCACGTGAAACCTAGATTCCAGGTAGAACAGAGTTAATAAATAATCTGTATTTACAATCTTACAGTCATGAAGACTCCTAACGAAGATGATCCAGATAGTCCTTACGCTTCTTCCTGTTCCATGAATAGTCTTTCAGACAGATCCTCCAAAGTAAAAAATAAATATTTTATATTGTAAAGTGTTTGTAAAACAAAAAAACCCCAAAAAAACAAAAAACAAACAAAAAAACCAAAAAAAAAAAAACAAACCCAAAAAACCAAAAACTACAGTCTAAGATAGCTGGAAAACTCCATGACACTCAAGAAAAAAAGAGAAAAGGAATGTTTTAGTTGAGAATTTTGTGCCTTTCTAACCATAAAAATACAAGCCCGGCTGCCCGTCTCTTTGGAGGCAGCCCGGTGCTGAGATGGTAGGTTTTGTGTTTTTCCTGCTACGTCTGCACAAGCTACATCTGGAATAAAACCGACAATTTCATGGTAACCAGGCAGTGGCAGCCAGCACAGCCTTACAATGGTTTAGTTCTCATTCCGTAGTTTGGTCACTGCAGGTGATGTCTAAGGGATGGGGTTCTGGGAGGGAGTCCCAAAGCCAGTCTTTCCCTCCCCTCCCTGCTTCTATTTAAGTGCCTATGTACGCGGTTAATCAGCTAACACTGGTCAGCATCATGAAATCCAGCAAGTCTTTCAATCCCCTGAAAATGATTTAGTACCGAACATGTAACAGCTCCACCTTTTCTTCATACAATCATCTCTTGGGGCCCCGCCCTCCCTGTCGGGCTTTGGCCCCTGCTCCTCCTCTTTCTAAGGGTCAAGCATGGTGGTTTGCCAATTCTAGTGAGCCCTCCCTTCTCCCACACGCCTGAAAACGCTTTGGAGTCCACTGCTCAGAGATGGCCTCACGCTAGCACCCTACCCTGACAAAAACGGAGTGGGGCAGCCACCTGCCCACTGACGCGGGGGATGCTTTTGCTTTTTGGAAAGCAAACCAACGTAATTATTTCTGTTCTTGGAAGATTGTCTTTGCATTCAGAGGCTGTATGCTGAGTCTGATTTGGAAAACGGCATTTTCTTGAGGCAAGTCCCATATCCTAGGAGTCCACAATGATACGCAAGCAGAGAAAAGGCAGGGAGGAGTGATCCTAGGGGTTTTCTTAAGCCCGTGGTTCCAGAAGGTGCAACACCAGCATTGGTTAGGATCAGTCTTTTGATCAACAGTTGGACGATTAGGAATCTGTTCAATAAACAAACACATAAATAGATAAGCCAATTCATTCATGAAGGCACTAGCGTTAACAGTTAACAAATGAACCTTAGCGTAGCTCTACTTTAATACTGACAAAAGCTTAAGACTGTCAACTTATTAAATGTTAATGAGCTTGACGGAGCAGGACCTTCCAGGGTGTATGTACACTATGCTTTCTAAAGCCTTCAGTGTTTAGGGAGTGTTCCACGTTCAGACTCAAAGATTATGTCATAATTTAAATCTGGAGTAAAATCCGTCTTTTTACTGACTGATCCTGGTAGGCATCAGGTCTTGGCCCAGTAAACATTAGATATTGTGTGGTAGGCCCAGCGCTGGACTTGAGGCTCAAGTAAGCACAGAGAGAAAAAGACTAAAAATAAACTGAGGTTCTAGTGAGAATTAATTGAGCCCATCAGTCTGACGGTAGTATACCCTTTCTACCCTTAGACACAAGGAAAGGCT